AGTCAGATTTGCTGAATTGCCACACAACATGAGTAACACACGCAGGCACGCACACACACACACTGTGTTTACTACAATCATAGATACAGTACTGTGAAGCCACACCCAAACAGGAAGGAGTCACCAAGAATAGAGTTGCCCTCCACCCAAACAGCTTCCCTTTCACTGACACACACTTCCTCAATGTGTGTGTGTGTGTGTTTAGTAGCCTGAAAGCTCTGGTGCAATATGTAGAGTTCTTCACATACAAATGTAATCCGGCTCAGTCATCAACGATGATGCAGCACGGGGGGGAGGAGCAATGTGTTGGTGTTGGGGTGATTGTTGTGTCAAAGCAAAGGGAAGTCCAAATGAATTTTTTAAGTTTTAAACTGATGGAAATTTTGATTAATGTTGTCATATTACAGCCAAAAAACTGTTTGAAATATTAGCAGTGTGCTCAGGAATATCAGCAGGTTGTTCTATAGAGACATACTCATCAAAAAGAACTGTAAACTTTTTTTTGTTACAGCTTCATGGTCTGTAGTTTCCAGATTTGATGGTATTCATGTATAATTTGAATAGCAGAGGAACAAAGCCCAGTGGCACGCCACAGCATAGACGTCTCTGACCCCAGGTGCTCAGTTGTGAATATTTGGTAATTTCATTCTTTTCTATGATTGTAAACACAAAATGTTATTCGTGGTTAGAAGAAGATGACATATAAAAGTCTCCATTTTGACTTAAGGGTATCTAAATGTCCCTTTTTCATCATTAATTTATAGATTAAACAGGAAGAAGATTGTTTAATAGAAGCATAATAATAATTTAACTTTTTAATATACCAACTACAAACATTACTATTGTTATTTATGGTGGGTATTATTAATATTAGTTTCCATATTTGATGCTATTTACATATCGTTTAAATTGTAAAGGACAGAGGTGAATGTAGGTTGAGAGTTTTAGAGGGGCTCAGCCCCCAGTCATAATGTCATGTGTATAGTGCCTTACAGTTAATATTAATGGAATATACCACTTTCAAATGTAGTCGGCTCTTTTCACATTTGCAAACCTTATTTCAATAAATAAAAGCAGTAAATTTAAAAGCAACTTAATTTTAGTTATCAATCTTCAATCAAAGGCCCAATAGATCAGAATTTTCCAAAGTAAAGAACAACTTGTGAGGAGAAAGAAGAAACATACATAGTGTATTTTCAGTCTCTTAACCGCATAGAAGCAGCTGACCAGATCATTAAGCACTTAAAGCAGCACAATTCAACAAAGAAAGTGTAAAATCACACTACCACTCCATACACCTCAACATGAAGTAAATTGATAAGAGAGCTGCTTTTACATTAAAGATTTTTAATTCATACAAACCCTCCTTTTATTATGCGGAATCAGCACAGAGCAGCATGTAGCCCCAATTCAAGAGTGGAGAACAGATTTGTAGTCTGTGACATCAGTGTAGTTTCAACTATCGTTTTATGCCATGTTTAGAGTGATATAGATCCTGTCAAATTCTACTACTCACGTCAATAAATATGTTCTTTCGAACATACATGCACCATTTTCAGTGTGCTGCTGGAAAGCACACAAAGCATCCATGAAACGCATGTCAACATATTTGGTAAAAAAACCAATAATCATTTAATTTCAATTCAATTTTATTTATTTAGCGCCAAATCACAACAGCAGTTGCCTCAAGGCACTTTATATTGTGCAGTAGATACAGAGAAAA